TCCACTTTTTTATGCTGGCCGTTGTGATTATGAAGACGTTGAATTTACTTTGTGAAGCCGAAGATAAATCTTACATTAAACGCACCGGTAGCGCACACGGTTGGGACGTTTTGTTTTATATTTTCAGTTTTTTTAAAGGGATCATGCTCTTCACGTTGATCGTTTTAATCGGTACCGGGTGGTCGTTTTTGAAACCGTATTTACAGGATAAAGAAAAGAAAGTGTTGATGATTGTGATTCCACTTCAGGTGGTTGCCAATATTGCTCAGGTGGTTATTGACGAAACGGGGCCCTATGGTCAGGATTGGGTTACCTGGAGGCAAGTGTTCTTGCTTGTCGATGTGGTGTGTTGCTGTGCCGTATTGTTCCCAATTGTTTGGTCGATCAAGAATTTGAGGGAGGCTGCTAGGACAGACGGCAAGGCTGCCGTTAATTTGATGAAGCTTACCTTGTTTAGGCAGTACTATATTGTGGTTATCTGTTACATCTACTTTACACGTGTGGTGGTTTATGCTCTTGAGACTATAACTTCGTATAAGTATCTGTGGACGAGTGTGGTGGCAGGAGAGTTGGCCACGCTGGCGTTTTATGTGTTTACCGGTTATAAGTTTAAGCCAGAGGCGCACAATCCTTACTTTGTGATTGATGATGAAGAAGAAGAGGCTGCTGCCGAGGCTTTGAAGCTTGAAGACGAGTTTGAATTGTAATTGGGCTGATTTGATTTTGGGACTTGAGGTAGAATCTTGCCTACTCATGTCCTTTTTTTCTTTTTGTAATTTTGAGTTAACACTAGTAGGTAATTTCATAAAACTTTGATGTATGTTTGTGAATGCCATAGTACTTGTAAGTACTGATACATGAATATTTGGGGTCACTTCTGGAGAATTGGTTGTGTATTAATTTGTTCTTCATCTAGTTAATCAGCTCAAGATGTGATAGCATATATTCTTTGATGCAAATACTTGACAGTTCATAAACTTCGAAAGAATGTATGTGCTTCTTGACATCATGATTTTAAGCAAATGCATGTTAAAAATGGACATTCGTGTTGCACAGTTGCTTTGCGCTTACTGTTAGGTGTGTCACATTGTTGTTGCTTTTAGTGACTGATCAACACTTGCTTTTTGGGTGAGGGAATAATTTTCTCTTTAATCTTTTGTTTTATATTCTCTTATGTTGTGTTGGATAGATTAAGTTTAATTTGGGGGTGAGTACTTTGAGAATGAGATCTGGTCATTGTATAGTTCCCGTTGCAAATTTTGGCTTGGCAGTAACATGTAAATTTGTGAGGTGAGAAAGTTGATTTCTGGCTATCAGCTTTTACAACTAAGTGGCAAAGCTTAGCCAAAGGTGATATGTTGTATAGGTAAGTGTCTATTAGTTAGACCATTCATTCCATGGTCTAGAATAAATGTAGGAATCTACACTTGGAAGGTTGAGTATCACTTCAATTGAATGGTGGCGTTAAGATCAGTTTCATACTTATTGCCTCCCCTGTATGTTTCAATTTTTTTGCCCTCATGTTATCGATTGTTACAGAATGGTGACTTTCCGTTTGTACCAAATTATTTTCTTAGAAAATTTTGTTTCTTTAAATCTGTGTTATTTGTTATTTTGAGAGCTTGGAATTTTTTTTTTCAATTAAAAGGAGGTAAATTAAACACTATATCCTTTGGACTAATTGTTATAAGTTTGCATATGGTGGTAAGAATTTCTTTAGAGCCATTAACATGCCTTTTAGGTTATAGTACTCCAATAGATGGGTTGGATGGTTAGCAGAAGCAGGTGTTGGTTGGGGTAGGTCTGATGTTTAAATCTTGCCAAGCCACATATCAGTGGCTGTTGATGCATCTCTACTGACTTACCATTTTTATTTCAACAACCTTGGAACATCCCCAACCAAGGTCATCATTTTGGAATTGCGTTTGGTTGGTACTGTGACTTGTAAGCACAGTATGAAATAGCTTCTCTTCCATGAAAGCAAGATGGTTTCTTTGGAAGTTGTCCTCCCTATTTGGCATTGATATCAAGCCTCTCCATTGCCCTGGTATATCACTTGTGTCTTTAAAATTGAAGGAAAAAACTTTGAAGGATCATAAAAATGCAATTGCAACTCCCATGGACTTCAAAAGTTGGAGACTTTGAACCTTGTTTACCTGCCAACCTTCTGATTAAAAGGATAATCAATAATGTCTTAAACCCTAAAATATAGAAGCAAATGTTTTGCCAATGCTTTTAGATCTTCATCTTCAACATATATACAAAGGCTATAAAGAAGTATCATAAGTGATTTTAATGAAAGGTTTGATGGTAAGTTGGCAAAGGTGATGGGGAGCAGATGGGAGCCATGTAGTTTGCATTTTTTCAGAAACATTAGATTTTGATCTGCAAATTAGGAATGACATAGCCAATACATTGCCCTTTCGGACATGTTCAAGGATGTGACACTGTTGTAATTTATGCTTCAATACTGTGAACGCATGATCTTCATACTAGGCGGAAAAAAAAATAGGGAATGATATGAAATAGACTGCTAAAATCTCATTTTTTTTCTTTATAGAATTGAATGTGTATATGATCAGGTTAGCAGTGAAGAAGATGTTTCAGCCATTGAGCTTTCCATTTCCTTGTTTGATTATGGCACAAGTGAAGAATCCTAAAAGGGAGGGGTCCAGCGTTTTAGGTCATATGGGTGGTTGAGATATGCGAATTAATTGACAATAAAGCGAGTAGAGTAGTAGGGACGCCTCCTAAAATTGTTCACTTGGACCTAACCCATCTTCAACAGTCTCGGCCAAGCCAACACTTTTAGGCTTGTGTTTCAGATCCCTCGCCCTCACAGATTCAACATTTGGGTCTCTCTCTCTCTGGAAGATCAATTCAATTTTCTGCTTATTTTTGCATACCTATCAAGGTCAGACTTGGAACACAGAAGATAGCAGAAAAAAATATGAAGATAATCAGTCAATTTCTAACCCAAAACAGATGGCTTTTTTTGTAGTTTCTAGTCCAACCTTACCGAGGATCCCTCTCACTATCTTGTGATTGTGCATGTGTAAGCACGGGTGCATAATAACACTAGGTGTGAAACAACAGATGCCATTTTTGTTTAACAAGATTTGACTTATGAGCTACTACTCTCTGGTTTAGTGACTTTCTTGACAGGCAACAAGGCAATTATCATCAGCAGTAAAATGAAAGAATTACTGGTACTGTCAAATTGCGTGGGCCCTGTGAAAGACATAAAAGGAGACATGCATGTGGAACCTGAAGAAAAATTGATGAAAGTTGGGGGACCGCATGAGATGATGATGCTTATAATGTTTAATTTGATGAAGCTTACCTTGTTCAGGCAGTACTATATTGTGGTTATCTGTTACATCTACTTTACACGTGTGGGGTTTATGCTCTTGAGACTATAACTTCGTATAAGTATCTGTGGACGAGTGTGGTGGCAGGAGAGTTGGCCACGCTGGCGTTTTATGTGTTTACCGGTTATAAGTTTAAGCCAGAGGCGCACAATCCTTACTTGTGTGATTGATGATGAAGAAGAAGAGGCTGCTGCCGAGGCTTTGAAGCTTGAAGACGAGTTTGAATTGTAATTGGGCTGATTTGATTTTGGGCTTGAGGTAGAATCTTGCCTACTCATGTCCTTTTTTCTTTTTGTAATTTTGAGTAACATAGTAGGTAATTTCATAAAACTTTGATGTATGTTTGTGATGCCATAGTCTTTTGAATTCTTCTGAATTATACATGATTTCTTACTTTATTCGATATTCTTCTTGATAATTAATAGCTTCTTATATTACAATAATAAAAAATCTCACCCATTTCCTAATTTTATATTAGTGTAGGCCTAATACAAGAATTTTCCCATTTAGAACTGATACTATTATTTATGAGCTGACGAATATTTACATAATTATCCTTTAAAAGAAAACTAATATTAGGTATATAATGCTTGATTGGTTGAATCCAAACTCTCCATCCTAACTGAATATGGTCGTGTCACCTCACATTTACTTGCTGTTCTTTTAGATTTAGAATATATCAGTACTTAGTAGGACCCTCAACTTTCTATAAAATTTACACAAAAAGATATTTAAGAAAAATAGAACGGCGTCGTATTTGTTGCTACTTTCCCGTTATGTAGGAGTTGGGCCAAACGTCAAACAAGCCCATATTCAGATAGTTTTGTCTTGGAATCCATTTCAAGTCAAAATCTAACAAGTTTCCTGTATTATAATATAAATTTGAGTAAACGACATTTACCCACCCAAGGTTTGTCTTAATGACACTTTTTCACCCAAAAAGTTTCAAAATATCATTTTCTTACCCAAAGTTTGTATTCTATTAATACCCAAAATACACTTCACTTTCTCAGTTGGTGTTTGGCGAGTTACCAGGAGCTTGGGTAAGTGTAGACTAGAGTAGAGGTCAGTAGATTGAATGATAGTAACTGATTAAATATTTGTTATCGGAATCAGTTAGAAATCAAGTAAGAATAAGAAACTCTAGCTTTACGGCGACAAACAATCGACGGGAAATCAAGTGTCGCAATAAAATGAGTTTTATAAAGAGTAGATCGAAGGTTCAGATAATGGTGACGGAAAGAATTTTTGCCACCATAATCGATCGGAACAGGCTTTAGTTAGTAAAAAAAATATTCTTTGGGTGGGAAAGTGGTATTTTGAAAAATTTTGGGTAGGAAATTATTAAAGCAAACCTTGGGTGGGAAAAAGTTGTTTACTCTATAAATTTAATCAATAACTTAAACCATGGTTAACGTGACATCATTATAAAGTATAAACCAAATAAGATTTTTTTATTTTATATTTGGTTAATTTAAAATAAAGCCAAATAAATTATTTAGGTGAAGAATATTCCTCTAGCACGAAATTACCATAATGCCCAAACCGACAGACGGCCATTCTCGTAGAAACTTTCAAAATCTGGCTCCAATTTCGTAATCAAATCAGAATAAAAATCTTCGTTTCCTCTGGTTTTATAAGGTTAGGTGTAAATGAAAGGACTAATTGGTTAAGTGTTAACATTTTCTCTTGACTTCAATTCCAGACTATAAACAAACCAACCAGAATAAAAGACCAAGACCAAGGGAAAGAACAAAGAGAGAGTCGGATACCTCTTCTGTTAGATCTGAAATTTCTCTTACTCGGCAGATTGTTCTCAGATCTAATGGCTCTCTCTAAATCCTTTCTCTTCTCCTTGTTTCTATTCATTTTGTTTTCACTTTCTTTTGCTGAAATCCGATTCACGGAGATCCGATCCGACGGCCGCCCGATTATTCCTTTTGATGGGTTCGGCTTCACCCACCGTGGCCGCCTTGAGCTCAACGTTTCTAAGATCACACTCTCCAATCGTAATCCTGAACTTGACTTCTCAAAAGTCGGATTATTCCTCTGCACGCGTGACTCCTGGCTTCACGTGCTCCAACAGCTCGAAGACGGTGAGGTCACTTGTGCACTTCAATCCGATCTCATTAAGCACGTCTTCACCTTCAAGAATCTCAACGGAAAATCGGAATTCTCAACTCTCTATGTTGAAAATGATTCCGATCAATACACGCTCGTTTTTGCTAATTGTCTCCAGCAAGTCAAGGTCTCCATGGACGTTCACTCGGCCATGTACAATCTCGAGGGAAGATCGAACAATCGCGATTATCTCTCGGCCGGTAAAACGGTTCTCCCTAGGGTTTATTTCCTCCTTTCATTAATCTATTTCGTTCTCGCCGGACTCTGGATCCACGTGCTGTACAAAAAGCGACTCACTGTTTTCCGGATCCACTTTTTTATGCTGGCCGTTGTGATTATGAAGACGTTGAATTTACTTTGTGAAGCCGAAGATAAATCTTACATTAAACGCACCGGTAGCGCACACGGTTGGGACGTTTTGTTTTATATTTTCAGTTTTTTTAAAGGGATCATGCTTTTCACGTTGATCGTTTTAATCGGTACCGGGTGGTCGTTTTTGAAACCGTATTTACAGGATAAAGAAAAGAAAGTGTTGATGATTGTGATTCCACTTCAGGTGGTAGCCAATATTGCTCAGGTTGTTATTGATGAAACGGGGCCCTATGGTCAGGATTGGGTTACGTGGAGGCAAGTGTTCTTGCTTGTCGATGTGGTGTGTTGCTGTGCTGTATTGTTCCCAATTGTTTGGTCGATCAAGAATTTGAGGGAGGCTGCTAGGACAGACGGCAAGGCTGCCGTTAATTTGATGAAGCTTACCTTGTTCAGGCAGTACTATATTGTGGTTATCTGTTACATCTACTTTACACGTGTGGTGGTTTATGCTCTTGAGACTATAACTTCGTATAAGTATCTGTGGACGAGTGTGGTGGCAGGAGAGTTGGCCACGCTGGCGTTTTATGTGTTTACCGGTTATAAGTTTAAGCCAGAGGCGCACAATCCTTACTTTGTGATTGATGATGAAGAAGAAGAGGCTGCTGCCGAGGCTTTGAAGCTTGAAGACGAGTTTGAATTGTAATTGGGCTGATTTGATTTTGGGGCTTGAGGTAGAATCTTGCCTACTCATGTCCGTTTTTTCTTTTTGTAATTTTGAGTAACACTAGTAGGTAATTTCATAAAACTTTGATGTATGTTTGTGAATGCCATAGTACTTGTAAGTACTGATACATGAATATTTGGGGTCACTTCTGGAGAATTGGTTGTGTATTAATTTGTTCTTCATCTAGTTAATCAGCTCAAGATGTGATAGCATATATTCTTTGATGCAAATACTTGACAGTTCATACTCTTCGAAAGAATGTATCTGCTTCATGACATCATGATATTAAGCAAATGCATGTTAAAAATGGACATTCGTGTTGCACAGTTGCTCTGCCCTTACTGTTAGGTGTGTAGCATTGTTGTTGCTTTTAGTGACTGATCAACACTTGCCTTTTGGGTGAGGGGATAATTTTCTCTTTAATCTTTTGTTTTATATTCTCTTATGTTGTGTTGGATAGATTAAGTTTAATTTGGGGGGTGAGTACTTTGAGAATGAGATCTGGTCATTGTATGGTTCCCGTTGCAAATTTTGGCTTGGCAATAACATGTAAATTTGTGATGTTGAGAAAGTTGATTTATGGCTATCAGCTTTTACAACTAAGTGGCAAAGCTTAGCCAAAGGTGATATTTTGTATAGGTAAGTGTCTATTAGTTAGACCATTCATTCCATGGTCTAGAATAAATGTAGGAATCTACACTTGGAAGGTTGAGTATCACTTCAATTGAATGGTGGCGTTAAGATCAGTTTCATACTTATTGCCTCCCCTGTATGTTTCAATTTTTTTGCCCTCATGTTATGGATTGTTACAGAACAGTGGCTTTCCGTTTGCACCAAATTATTTTCTTAGAAAATTTTCTTTCTTTGAATCTGTGTTATTTGTTATTTTGAGAGCTTGGAATTTTTTTTTTTGCAATTAAAAGGAGGTAAATTAAACACTATATCCTTTGGACTAATTGTTATAAGTTTGCATATGGTGGTAAGAATTTCTTTAGAGCCATTAACATGCCTTGTAGGTTATAATACTCCAATAGATGGGTTGGATGGTTAGCAGGAGCAGGTGTTGGTTGGGGTAGGTCTGATGTTTAAATCTTGCCAAGCCACATATCAGTGGCTGTTGATGCATCTCTACTGACTTACCATTTTTATTTCAACAACCTTGGAACATCCCCAACCAAGGTCATCATTTTGGAATTGCGTTTGGTTAGTACTGTGACTTGTAAGCACAGTATGAAATAGCTTCTCTTCCATGAAAGCAAGATGGTTTCTTTGGAAGTTGTCCTCCCTATTTGGCATTGATATCAAGCCTCTCCATTGCCCTGGTATATCACTTGTGTCTTTAAAATTGAAGGAAAAAACTTTGAAGGATCATAAAAATGCAATTGCAACTCCCATGGACTTCAAAAGTTGGAGACTTTGAACCTTGTTTACCTGCCAACCTTCTGATTAAAAGGATAATCAATAATGTCTTAAACCCTAAAATATAGAAGCAAATGTTTTGCCAATGCTTTTAGATCTTCATCTTCAACATATATACAAAGGCTATAAAGAAGTATCATAAGTGATTTTAATGAAAGGTTTGATGGTAAGTTGGCAAAGGTGATGGGGAGCAGATGGGAGCCATGTAGTTTGCATTTTTTCAGAAACATTAGATTTTGATCTGCAAATTAGGAATGACATAGCCAATACATTGCCCTTTCGGACATGTTCAAGGATGTGACACTGTTGTAATTTATGCTTCAATACTGTGAACGCATGATCTTCATACTAGGCGGAAAAAAAAATAGGGAATGATATGAAATAGACTGCTAAAATCTCATTTTTTTTCTTTATAGAATTGAATGTGTATATGATCAGGTTAGCAGTGAAGAAGATGTTTCAGCCATTGAGCTTTCCATTTCCTTGTTTGATTATGGCACAAGTGAAGAATCCTAAAAGGGAGGGGTCCAGCGTTTTAGGTCATATGGGTGGTTGAGATATGCGAATTAATTGACAATAAAGCGAGTAGAGTAGTAGGGACGCCTCCTAAAATTGTTCACTTGGACCTAACCCATCTTCAACAGTCTCGGCCAAGCCAACACTTTTAGGCTTGTGTTTCAGATCCCTCGCCCTCACAGATTCAACATTTGGGTCTCTCTCTCTCTGGAAGATCAATTCAATTTTCTGCTTATTTTTGCATACCTATCAAGGTCAGACTTGGAACACAGAAGATAGCAGAAAAAAATATGAAGATAATCAGTCAATTTCTAACCCAAAACAGATGGCTTTTTTTGTAGTTTCTAGTCCAACCTTACCGAGGATCCCTCTCACTATCTTGTGATTGTGCATGTGTAAGCACGGGTGCATAATAACACTAGGTGTGAAACAACAGATGCCATTTTTGTTTAACAAGATTTGACTTATGAGCTACTACTCTCTGGTTTAGTGACTTTCTTGACAGGCAACAAGGCAATTATCATCAGCAGTAAAATGAAAGAATTACTGGTACTGTCAAATTGCGTGGGCCCTGTGAAAGACATAAAAGGAGACATGCATGTGGAACCTGAAGAAAAATTGATGAAAGTTGGGGGACCGCATGAGATGATGATGCTTATAATGTTCTTTCTTTTGTTTTACTTTTTTTTTTTTTCCAGGACTCCAGACATTTAGAGCAATATTCCAATTTTGATCAAGTATTTGTCTTGTGGAATCCTATAAATCAAACCCGTTTTAAGCTTGGGAATTCCTGTGAAGCTACTTTAGGTGTACGCTAATCCAATTTTAATCAAGTTTGTTGATTAGCAGAGAACTGTATCCAAGAGGAACATTCTAAACAAAAAATTTGATGCTTTGTGGCGAAAATTGTATCAGAATCTTCTAAAGTAGAGGACAATATCTACACTTGGGAGTAAATGAAATGGTTTCTCCCCCAATAACAATTCAAGGTTTTGACCGAAAGTCACAATGGCAGGTTGTGAAAATTGATGGAAGATTGTGATAAATAGTCCATTTATATCCCTGCGGTGTAGTGTCCGTTGAATAATTTATCACTTTGACTAATTTACTCTAAATCCGGCTGGCTGTCTGGGCCACTACTTATTTATAGGAGATTGACTAGTTAAAGGCCAGCATATTATATGAAATGAATCACAAGAAATAAATTTATATTTAAGAAAAGGGAGATGGAGATGGATCAAAGTAAAGATCTGGAAAGCAAGAGAAAGATGGTTTTGATTGAGATGAGGTGCATGTGATGTTATCTTTCTTTACAATCCACACCCTCAAAGCAAAGTTCCAGGATAAACGGGCCTACCTCAATTGCTTTCTTGACAGAGAAATCACCATTAAGAAAAGAAAAAGAAAAGAAAGCAAAAAGCTAAACAAAGAAAAGCTCACATTAAAAAGAAGAAGAAGAAGAAGAAGATATATGAAGGAGGGTGATGATGATGATGATCACTAGCCCTGAGAATTCCACAAATGAAACTAACATTTCTCAAGAATCCATCAGCACCACCACTTGCCCCAGCTGGAAACTGTACGAGAATCCATTTTATAATTCACAGCATCATAAAAATCATCATCGTCAACAACAACAACAACAACAACACCAAAGCTACAAGCATATTCATAATCTAAACCTTCCTCTCTCGGCTCGTAAGATCGCAGCTTCTTTCTGGGATCTAACCTTCTTCAGGCCAATCATGGAGACTGAGCTAGATATTGCACGAGCACAGATAATTGAATTGAAAGCTGAGCTTGATTACGAACGTAAGGCACGTAAGAAGGTTGAGTCTTTGAATAAGAGACTGGCTAAAGAACTGGCTGAAGAGAGAAGAGGAAGAGAAGCAATGGAGAGAGTGTGTGAAGAGCTTGCTAGAGAGATTTCATCTGATAAAGAAGAGATAGATCGCATGAAGAGAGATATGGAGGAAGAAAGAAAGATGCTGAGAATGGCTGAGGTGTTAAGAGAAGAAAGAGTTCAAATGAAGCTCTCAGATGCCAAGATGCTCTTGGAAGAAAAGTTAATTGAATTGGAGAAAACTAAAAGGGATAAAATTCCAGGACTCATTAGTAGAGCTTCAAGTAGTTCTGGTAATCTTTCAGGAAAATTTTCCAGGTTCGTTCTGGGCGAGAAATCTATAGATGATAATATTGATATTGATTCAAAAGACTCAACAAGATTAAGTTTGGGTTCAAGTGAAAAGTTGTCTTGCAATGATAATGTTAATTGTGTTTCATCCATGGCAATCCAGCGAAGAACATCAACAGAAGCTGAGAATCCACATATAAAGCGAGGGATTAAAGGGTTCGTTGAATTTCCCAGAGTGATTAGAGCAATTGGATCCAAAAGTAGACATTGGGGAACAAAACTGGAGTGTCAAAAGGCTCAGCTAAGGATTCTACTTAATCAAAGGAATCCAATTCGATCCAATAATCTTATTTTGAGTTAAAAGAGATCGTCAGTAATGTTGTTCAGAAGTGCCTTCAATTCTATGTCTTGATTAATTTTTGTTCTTTCTTTACATGTAATATTTTTCATACCGTCTTGTTCATCCTTTATGTTTCCGCAAATGATTACCAGTACTATTACTCAGTACCCGAAACTTCATTGTTCCAAGAAGTTTTAATTATAATCAAGAATGAAGTAAATATGTTTTGGTTTGTAATTGTTGTAAAGACATTATGATAACATATTTGAGTTTATTATTGTATCTTACATACTTTGGAAATAAGAAATGTGTTTCTCAGATCTGCTGAAATGCCCATATACCTTTCTCAGCAAACAGGCGGTGGATCTTGACTTCGGATATAAATGTTTATTGAACAACTTAGAGAGGTTATAAGATTATATTAAACATTTTCAGGGAACAGATCCCATAACACTTGAAATTAGTATCCTAATTTAATAAAGTCGTTTTACTTTCCAACTCTCATATGCTGTATATGGGTTTTATAATTTCAGACTTGGGATTTCAGTTTGATATAAAAAATACAGCCAGAGAATTCGGTCCATTCCAAGATATTCTTCACCGATTCACACAGTTCTTTTTTGTCGCCATTAGATACAGAGTTTAGCAATCTGGACTCATCATTAGGATCAAACTTGTGAAAAAGCAGAAAAGTTGGAAAATGATTATGAAACATGAATCTGGATTCTGGCATAATTAATTTGAAGCACAATCTCAGGGATTAGTCATTAGAGTCATCACACTCTGGCAGTCGTGTACAAGAAAAAAAAAAAAGGCTTTTACTTTCTGGATTCGTATTCATTTCGTCTTCCGTTTTAGAATGTTCAAGTATATCAGTCTAGGCGTTACTTTTCATTTACTTGGTTCGCGGTTGTTGCTCCTGTCCTGTGTTGATCCCTCAAATCATGAGACTCTGAGTCTGAATACATAAAATAACCCATTGGAATGGTCACATAAATCACCCCACCCCACAAATCTCCAGACCCAGACAAGGAATTAATGTGTAATTTAACCTAAATTAATTATTCCTTAACCACCAATACTTATATATAACACTGAAATTACAAGTGAAGAAGCTTGTTGATGTAAATATCACTCTTACTCTCTCATCTTCTTCAGCTAGCAACTACCCAAATTGGCTTAAACTAGGTTGAGGTTATAGCTAGGTATCTAGGATGCTATATTTATAATACTTGTAGTCACCATCAGAATTAAAGCAGTAATTAGTAGTAGAAATTTTATCTCAATTAGGAATTAATGGGTCCAGACTCCAAGAGAAATATTTATTGAGACCTAATCCAAGAGGAGCCCATGCCCATCGATAGTTAGTTACTGCATCACATCCATTACAACTTGGTCCCCCCTCACCATCACACGAAAACCAAGTGGCCCCCGCTCCATCACCATCTTCAACGTTTAACGGAAATGGTGAATATTTTTGGACAGAGATCGTCAGTCAACTGAGTCAAAGTAAATCACCATGGCCAATCAATTGATACTTATGCAGAGATACAAGTTGATTAATGTTTTGGTCCAATCAAACGAAGCGGTGAGTTGAGTTACTAAATCTATGCACTTGACGTGAAAAATGGAACGTTAGATAAAATGTCTTCTCTCTCTATCTCTACCTCCCAGTGGGTTGTCAGTATTTTTGTAAGTAAGAGAAAGAGGTGTGTAGAGATGTGATTTTGTCTTTATTCTACAAGAGGTGCGAATGTTGGAAGCTTAGGAAGCAAACTCCAAACGCATGGCTCAAAATGGCGGCACCGCTAGCTACATCCATACCCACATAACCCATTTTATCTAAAATCAAACACAAAGAAAAAGAGAGAGAGTTTTTTTTTTGTTAAAGAACTAGCAGTGAAATTTAAGAATCGGTTGTTTTTTCATTGTTGATGGGAAAGTTGTTGTCCTTTTGAGGAAATAAATGGGAACAAGAAGTGAGTTTGTGGGTAGAAAGAAAGGAGTAGTGAGAGAGTGTGGGTCGGGTTTGAGGATGCAAGAAAAGCAAAGTGATGGAAGTAAGAGATTGATGGTGTTTGATGATGATAAGTTATTATCTTCTTCTTCTGCTGCTTCTTGTTGTGAGAGCTCTATTACTAGTGGTGGTTTTGTGGGTGGTGGTGGTAGTGGTAGTGGTAGGCCCTTGTTTTGTAACACAAGCAACCAAGTTGCTTGTATGAGCGATATATACGATGTTGTCGGTGTTGCTTCTGCTTCTGGATCTGCTACTAATACTGCAACTGCACTATTCCTGCCCAAATCTCTAAACTCGTCTAACTTTGACTCTTCATTTTCTTTCAATTCCTCAGGTAAAGTTAACATTTTTCTGTGTGTATATTAAGTTCTACCTCTAATCTATTTATTACATTTCTAGGTTAAAGAAGAATTTTAGTAAAGTTGTGAATCTAAAGCTGATGTAATGCCATTCTCTGCAACAGTGGGAGAAATGGCAGCTTCTGTGAATGTGAGACTACCTTTTACTGCTGCTCAGTTGCAAGAACTTGAGAGGCAGACCACGATATTCAAGTACATGATGGCTTCAATACCTGTCCCTAATGAACTTCTCTTCGCCATTACCAAAACCCCATCAATTCTTCCTCCTCCACACTCCAATAGTAATTTGTCTTTCTTTTATAGCGCTTTCTTGCATTAATATTCATGTTAATGCTAATGTTGTTCTGGTTCATGTTCTCATCTTATGTTTCTACATGGACTATCCAATTATTAATGTTGGTTATATGCTGTATTATATAGAAACAATATTTAATTCTGATGGGTCCTTGCCTTGATATTGTCAAAGATGATCAATTTATTGTTTATTAGCTAGGATTTTACTGAGCTTTACTGAACACTTATGGGTTTGATTCTAGTGGTACGAGCTTCAATGGAGTTGGGGGTTATGAGCCATAATAGCTCGGATCCGGAGCCATGGAGGTGCAGAAGAACAGATGGGAAGAAATGGAGGTGCTCTAGGGACGTGATTCCTGATCAAAAGTACTGTGAACGCCATTCTCACAAGAGCCGTCCCCGTTCAAGAAAGCCTGTGGAATTACCAGCTCACCAAATCAACAAGAACGATAATATTGTCACACAGTCTTTGAACCTTGCATCAAACACCATCAACAGGCCTTATCAAACGTCTCATCTTCTTAACCAGACCATGGGCTTATCTGCATTATCCAGTGATCAACAACCCAGGTAAGTTGGGGGTTTCAATGTTCTCTCTGCTCTGAATCTGAGGACACAATTAATTTATCAGCCATACTATATATTAATGTTATGCTGCAAACCTGCAATCCCCTTCCCTAGTTCTTATCCCTTGTCTATTGTGAATGTTATGACATGGGCCTTTTTGTTTGTCTTTTATACTTTATTGTGAAATAACTGTGGCAACTTTTTGTTCACCCGTGAAGGTGCTTGGAGTGGTTCATGAAAGGTGAGACCATTCCTGTTGCTAATAATTCCAACCAGGAATGGCCGCAAATGTTGCAGTCCAAGTTAGAATCTAAGAGAGACAGCACCATGGGTTACGCAGAGCACCTGTTCAACTCAAATTCATACATCAATTTTGGTGGTAACAGTAGTGTGCTGCAAGCTCAGGGGCTACATGACCAGTACAACCAATTTTTTAGCCCCAAATTGGTCTCCCATCAGACCCCAACACAACAGATCACTAGACACTTCATTGATGCTTGGTCTATAGGAGATGGAAATATGAGTAATACGGACGGAATCAGCAATAGGAGTCTTGTTTCTTGTAATGAAAAGCTACCGCAGTCTTCCCTTACATTATCAATGTCTGGTGGAAGTGAAATTATTGAAAGAAATGAAAACGTTGCAATGAGTACTCTTGGTACCTCAGGCTCAGAAACAGAAAATGTTGGGACTTCTAGACCCCACTGGATGAACCATATTTCAGGGATGGGTTCAACACCTGGTGGACCATTGGCTGAAGCATTGTGCCTTGGCATTGCGAGTAGTGCAAAATCAGATTCGAATGAGGCATCCCCTCATGATTGCAGCACTAGCACCACTACCACCAGCAGCAAAAGCTCATGTGGAGATGGTGGCCGCCCAGGGACCCAGTTTTAATAAGGCAATATGGGTGGTCTCTTGTCAACCTTTACTTTAAGCTCATTGTGTATGTATTAGTGAACTGGTTAATTTTGACTGAATGAGTTGAATTTGATTAGCTAAACCAGAGCTGACTACAATTCCATAAAAAAAAATTCGTGAACTTTGTTATTTTGGCAGTTGGTTGGTCAGTCTACTGCATAAAGAAGTGTTTCTAATTAATTGCAAATTTTTCCTTAGCGATTAAAAATTGTAAATTATTAAGGGAATGTTAAAGCTGAAGTTGTATCGCATTTAACTTTTGTAACAACTAGGTACCAGTTTTCCCCTGTTTAAAACAGAAAATATGAATTAAACCAGCAAAGAACAGAACTTCCACGACAAAATTGAGCATCTCGTTTCCTATAGGAAAAATGGTCGGGAGAATCTCAATAGTAGTAGTTCCATAAGAACCCGAATTCTACATATTAATTAGATTCGCCACACCTGGCATTAAATGATGATAACCCGACTTTTACTGATTCTGAACTGAAACCAAATAATTCTACCTCAACATGATTTCACATATCATGGGTTGTCAAAATCCATGCAATTTATTTTGTTTCTAGCTAATGTGGAAGGTTGAGGTAAGAGTAAATTGGCAGCTGATTTATTCCCACAAATTGAGAGAGAACCTTGATCCAGACAATGATGGAGAAATTTCGCCACCAAAACTCTCAGTATAAGACGAATAGTTTGATAGCTGCTCCATTCCATAATAGCCACCATGTAGGCTCTTGAAGCTGATGCTTCCCAAGTTCTGGCTAGAAGCATTACATGCAGTGCCAACACCACAATGTAACTCATGAGCTGGATAAGAAAGGCGCTTCTTCACTGAACCGCCACGCTCTTTCTGGGATGTTGATGACCTCTGCCTTGGTGCACTCTGTGACCGAGCCCGAGCCTTGGCACACTGAGTGGCAGCCATGTAATTTGGCACTGTAGAAGTAGCAGCAGCCCTGCTTGTGGCTGTTGCATAGCGAGATATTCCATTATTAATACAATAGGTAGACCTTAAGTTTGGAGTTACTGCGGCCGAGTAACTTATGTCTTCCTTCAGGTATCGAGGGCTTGCCGAACGCACTTGAAGGGGTTTGGTTTTGCGCGGAGAGGGTGTGACAGGTGATTGGTGGAGAGAGAAACTTTGTTGTGCCCGGTGAAGTGGAGAAGCAACAGAGTGGGGTCTAGCTTGTTTTTGTTGATGATTTTGAGACTGGGATTTTTGGAGAGTTGGAGCAGAATAAGAACAAGGCCTAGACATGTCAATTTCAACTGTCTTTATAAGGTCTCTACTATCAGTTGAAGCTCTGCTAGTAGTGCTATTGTCCCATTGCTTGGTAGCCATCCACCGATCAAGCCATTTTGTTCTTTCTTCTAAATCACTTTCATCTCCTGCAGATGGATTCCTGCGAGATTTCCACATCTTGACGTGGTATGAAGATGTTCATGAGTAGATTAGACCATTTTCTCATAAGTCCAAAACAAACCTGAATATACAGATGATAAGAATGAACTAACCTGGTTAGAGAAAGCATAAGCGAGGGCTTTTTCGCGTTTTAGACCAGCTTCCTTTCGACTCTGGAACGTTCCATCTATCCCCTGGCTTGAATGTGGACGGTCGTCCCAATCATCTAGTGTACCACTCGCACTTTTGGACTGTGAAAATAGAAAGCCTTCAGAATATATAGAGAAACGTTGTATTCATATCATAATTAAACATTAACTGGACATATATGTAAAAACTTACTGTTGACTTCCTATTTTTAATGTCTTGAAGATTAGCAGACTCCCATAAACTATTGATTTCAGCAACCATAGACTTTCTGCTGAGTTCANTTCTCATAAGTCCAAAACAAACCTGAATATACAGATGATAAGAATGAACTAACCTGGTTAGAGAAAGCATAAGCGAGGGCTTTTTCTCGTTTTAGAGCAGCTTCCTTTCGACTCTGGAACGTTCCATCTATCCCCTGGCTTGAATGTGGACGGTCTTCCCAATCATCTAGTGTACCACTCACACTTTTGGACTGTGAAAACAGAAAGCCTTCAGAATATATAGAGAAAGGTTGTATTCATATCATAATTAAACATTAACTGGACATATATGCAAAAACTTACTATTGACTTCCTATTTTTAATGTCTTGAAGATTAGCAGACTCCCATAAACTATTGATTTCAGCAACCATAGACTTTCTGCTGAGTTCATGTGAAAGCCTTGCTCGTTGATCACGCACCCTATCTTGTGCTCGAACCACAGCTTGAATGCATTTCAGCGTGAACTTGGTTTGTTTTCGAACATTTTGTCCCCTCACTAAAGCTTGAAGCATTACCAGCCCTTTAAGTGCACGCAAAGCTCTTCTTGCCTTGAACAAATAGATCATTTTGTTAGAGTGCTTCAAATAATGGAAGGAAGAAACTGTATAAAAAACATATGAGTCCCAGATCGAGTAATTATTATAACTTTGATATTATTTTATTGTGTTACGTGTACTTACTAAGTAGCCTCTGAAAGCTGTTTGAATAACTACAGCAGCATAATGTTCTTTAACATAATTGGAAGGCCTGGTGAGCCTAGCGATCTCTACCGCCGCTTGGGCTGTTACCACGGCAGCTTCAGCAGCTGCCGCAGTGGCTGCTGCCACTGCAATTGCGTGCCTTTGATCAGCAGCTAAAATAGGGATCACTGGTGTAGCTGCAGTAGTAGTAGTCGCGTTTGCTACCGGCTTTGCTTCACATGGTTTTGCATGATCACTGTTAGGCCTTCGAAAAAGCCATCTTCTTTTCTCTCTTTTCTGCACAAACCCAACCTCTTATCATTATAAAAAAAAAAAATCTTCTAAACACGTATCAAAAACAATGGAAATGAGCGTAAAATTATTGTTACCTTTTCTTCCTCTTCTTGCTCATGTTCTTCTCTTCTTCTGCTACTCTTTTTCTCATTCTCTTTAGTTGGGGACCTAAAAGCCCTTTTAACTATTGTCAACCAAGAGGTACCATTTTTCTTTCCCATGGAGAGGTATATACGAGAAAGCTTTGATGCATTTACATTTACAACTCTCGCAAAGGCATAAATATTGTAGGAAGAAATAAGATATAAGGTAGTAGTTTATATGGATTTGATAATACCTTCTTCACCATAAATGAAGTCAGTCAATTATTTTAGAGAGGGCAATAGAAGAAGCGTGATATTTATTTGTGCCGAACCCACCCAGGGTACGAGCTCCAACGTATGTCAACAAAACAAGCAATAGGTGTTTGGTAGTGGCATGGGGAAAAAACTAATAGAGTTGTCAGAAATTGCTTCGTAATTTGTACATGAAATTATCACAGAAGATGACATGAGAGTGAGAAAGACGGGAGTTTTTAATGTAACAAAGAATCCAAAGTTCATTGAAGATAGCTAAACCCTTTTTTATTGATTGAGCATGCTTTTAAGTTTTTATCTTCTCTTTATTAATAAACTGACCAAACCCATTGGCTTCACGTGTTATCAGCAGCTAAAGGACAATAGAGAGAGAGAGAGATGAGAGATTCATTCATCTATATGACTATCGTTGTTGAATTCTCCTCGAAGACCATCAATCAAACTTATTAGCCAGTTGGTTTGAAGAGGAATCCTGAACTGTGCATGTTTTTGGGTTGCTGGAAAAAGGTTGGCTTCATTTCCCCGTAGCTGGTCAAACTCTGCTTTACTTTCCAATAATGATTCTTGTCCCAGATATTAAATGAGGACAATCCCAACACATAAAAATTTAATCTCCGACCAGAAACTGAAAATCATGCTACTCCATCCTCTCCATTTTAACCATTATAGTCCAGTTAGTGAATTCCTGCCAAGTTATTATAATCGCATAATTGGCATTACCTTTTGTACTACACATTTTGTTAGCGCATCCTGATATAACAAAAGCTGCTACTCCTCTTCAGATTCCTGTTCTTTGATGCTACTCACTTTTACTCTGCCTCAGTTATCATAACAGTTACCCAATGACGTTTAAATTCAGTTCCCGTGATAAATTGCAGGTTCATCACTGGGCTCAAAAAAGGGTATTAAACAGTAAAAAGAAAGAAAGAATATCTGATTCCTCATTGTTAAATCTTTGCTTTTTCTGCCCTTGCTGTATATTCAGACAAATCCTGAACTTAAATCTCTTATTATTACACAACTCTTAAAACTTAAGACGATTAATGTCTTAAAAAAATATACATATGTACATGATTTGTTTTGTTACCAGCCAGAAAAAAAATCTAAACTTTTCTCTGGCTGGAGGGGAATCCTGCAATCTTCGGCTTTTGATGATTTGTAAAATAATAATTGAGGTGTGACTGTAGATGGGGTCAGCTTCATTCTGATCCAGCCCCACCACTGGGGAGAGTTGGGCTCAGCTTGTGAGCTATCCAATCCAATCAATAAGGGTGGGTGAAGCCGAAAAGGCAGCGTCAGTGAGGCCTAATGGTTTTACTACAGGTAATTCAATCACTCCCCAAATTTACTCCAGCACCATCGACTGCTCAAACTCATTTAATTTGAATTGATTTTAGCGCTCAAAGCTCGTGTACCTAAACAGTCAGTCTCAGTCCCCACTNTTCATTCTGATCCAGCCCCACCACTGGGGAGAGTTCCAATCCAATCAATGAGGGTGGGTGAAGCCGAAAAGGCAGCGTCAGTGAGGCCTAATGGTTTTACTACAGGTAATTCAATCACTCCCCAAATTTACTCCAGCTCCATCGACTGCTCTCAAACTCATTTAATTTGAATTGATTTTAGCGCTCAAAGCTCGTGTACCTAAACAGTCAGTCCCCACTCTCCCACAAATTTTTGAAAATTGAATGAACCGATCGAACCTGGTGATGACACTTCAAAAACAATTGATTAATTAAATTCATAATATAATATAAAAATTCCACCTTCAGAAAAGTCATTCCCTGTATGTATATTTTTCACTTGGGAGTTGGGAGTTGGGAGTTGGGAGTAAGATTCTATTTCAAATTTCAAAACCATCACCATGGGTTGTGTTTCATCCAATTTGCTAAACCAAGAAGACGAGTTCACTCAACTCGGTAGCTCAGCTCTGGGTCACCACATTGTCTCACTCACTTCTACCACTTATGGCCTCCTCAATCTTGATCCACCGACACCAACTCAGCCCCCCACCACCGCCTCCGCCACAACCCCGCCTACCCCGCCTCCTAGGTTCACCCTCGGTTCCATTTTCCCCAGCCCACTGTCCGAACCTTTACCCAAACTCCTCCAATCCGATCCCGAAGTCATTAACTCCTGGGAACTCATGTCCGGTTTAGATTCCGACAGTAGTTTCCGTTTCTGTTCCAAACTCAAGGGAACCTCAAAAGAAAATTCAAATCCTAATTTAAAACCTCTTAATATTAACTTTCTTAAAGTTTGCAATTCCCTCCCGAAGGATAAGAATGTCCTGGACAAGTTCGAGAAATTATGCCCACCAAGCGGTGGAAACAAACTCGTGATTTACACCACCACTTTGAGAGGTATACGCAAGACTTACGAAGAGTGCAATGCAGTTAAGTCGGTTATGGAAAACTTCGGAGTGGTTATTTGCGAGAGAGATATATCAATGGATCGTGGGTTTAAAGAAGAGTTGAGGGAGTTGATGAAAGATAAAGAGAGAGAAGCAATGGTACCACCGAGAGTATTTGTGAAAGGGAGATACATTGGTGGGGCTGAAGAGGTTTTAAAAATTGTTGAAGAGGGTTGGTTTAGTGAGTTAATTGAAGGGATTCCAAAGAGAAAAGTTAAGGGAGTGTGTGAAGGGTGTGGAGATGTGAGGTTCTTGCCATGCTTTGGGTGCAATGGGAGCTGTAAAATGGTGATGAACGTCAAGGAAGAGATGGGACAGAAGCAAGGGACTACTGTTGTGGTAAAGTGCCCTGATTGTAATGAAAATGGGTTAGTGCTTTGTCCCATTTGTAGTTAACTGTGTTCTGTTGTTATGCAACTTTCTTCATATAATAATAAATTAATAATAGTAAGATATCTCATTTTACTTGCTTATGTTTGTTAAAAGGATTTTTTTTTTTTTTTTCTTTATTGAGTTCTCCATGTTGTGTTTGTGATTTGTTTGATATGATTTTTGCTTTTGATAATTTAGCAATGATACATATGCAAAATTAGAGATGAAATCATGAAAGGGTAGGCTAGATTGTTAGAGGATCATTGATTTTGAGGAAAATTTNAAGTGCCCTGATTGTAATGAAAATGGGTTAGTGCTTTGTCCCATTTGTAGTTAACTGTGTTCTGTTGTTATGCAACTTTCTTCATATAATAATAAATTAATAATAGTAAGATATCTCATTTTACTTGTTTATGTTTGTTAAAAGGATTTTTTTTTTTCTTTATTGAGTTCTCCATGTTGTGTTTGTGATTTGTTTGATATGATTTTTGCTTTTGATAATTTAGCAATGATACATATGCAAAATTAGAGATGAAATCATGAAAGGGTAGGCTAGATTGTTAGAGGATCATTGATTTTGAGGAAAAATTAGTAATATATAAACTTATGCAGCTGAGGTACAATTTAAAATTTTCAGTCATTTGATTTTTTTGGAAGACGTTCTGTTGGGCATGCCTTCTTGTTGATATAGAGTAAAGCAATTTGTTTGGTATATAAGCTTGAACACAGGATGAATAGGCCATAAAAATAGAACTGATTTCGTTGTTTGTAGTTTCTTTTCTACTTGAAAGTGTTTTCAAGTTAATTCCTTTTAAGTGTGTTATATCACACTTCTTGATATCTCGGGAAGTTCTTCACTTGCTTCCCATGAAAATCTGCTCAAACCGCCATTTGTTATTATTTATCTTGTAAGTTGCTGGAACTTTCAAGAAAATTGAAGTATAAGAGTTCCTAAGTGTCATAGTCTGAGTCTAGTGGTTAGCCTAAGTGTCAAAGAGTGATGCAAAGAGCATTGTGTCTCGGGTCATGCGAGTCTAGAGGTTAGCCTAAGTGTCTAAAGACTAAAGAGTGATGGAAAGAGCATTGTGTCTCGGGTCCTGCGAGTCTAGTGGTTAGCCTAAATGTCTAAAGAGTGATGTAAAGCGCATTGTGTCTTGAGTCATGCAAGTCTACAGCTTAGCCTAAGTGTCTAAAGAATGATGTTAAGTGCATTGTGTCTTCAGTCAAGTCACCAGAGTTATATGTAATGTAAGAGGGAAATACTAGAGAGTATGTGAGCTGAATTAATTGGTTTTTCTGTCAAATGTTGAGAACTTCAATTATGTAGTTAATGGAATGAATGTGCCTTTGATCTTCAGTATCCAAGATTGCTGATTCTGCTGTCTTATAACTAATCATTTGCTATGGATTAGATAGTCCTAATCAAATGAAGTATGGATCTTATCTGAAAGAGATCTTCAAACCATTTAGGAATGATTACAGTTAATCTGCAAAAATGGATAAACTTCATCCTTTTCCTGCTGTACATTTAGCTTTCGAGTTAATTTCAGGGAAAAGGGCCTCCCAGCCAGTGCTAATGATGCCTCAAATTAAGTATACAGATATGATGGGGATGGGCCAGTTCCAGAACAGGAACCAAAAGAAATATATGGGAACAAACTAGAAAACTTGAAACTCATTTGCCTCATTTTATCATCCCTCTTGGGCGGGTATTGCTCTGCTGTGCAAGTTTACTTCAAAAAGCTTATAATTTTTTCCTCTCATGTTGTATTTCTAGTTGTTGCTGTTGTTATTTTTGACTTATACACAATTCTAAACTACAACTGCCATGAAAATGCTCATTGAAGAGGATTAGATTAAATTTATGCTTTGAAGCCGCTGTTTCAATCTCCTTTTGCATATTTCTATATTGGCAACAGGGTCAAGAATTTTTCTCATTGATTCAAGCATTTTCTTAAGCGTCAGTTTCTGTTCTTGTTTTAAGTTAATATTGTCTAAAGTAGAGTTGGCGGTGGGCCGTGCTGAGGGGAAAAAAAAGCACGGCCTATGATTATGTAGGCTCTGTTGTGGGCTTTAAAAAAGGCACATGGCCCGGCACAGCACGACACGAACAAATTTAAAAAAAAATAAATACTAGTCTATGTTTACAGTTAAGATATATTAGAAAATTTTAAAAATTTAGATTTTAATGAAAATGAAGATGTACAATAATTTTTAATCATAATTTCTAAATTTGTATTTGTAATTTATAATTATAACTTATAAGTAATAAAAAGTTTTGAAATTCAATTAGTAGTTGAATGTTTTATTATTTTATAATGATTATATATTTTATAATTAATATAAATACAAAATATTACTAAATATAATATATAAGATATTTTTATAATAATTATTAATAATAAATCAAAATTACCATAATTTATAAATATTAAAATTAAATTTTTTTACAAAGTACGCGGACTAATTCATGGCAAGTTATATAGTAAGTCATGTCGTGGGTTTTCAAATTTGGTGAGTCGGTACGATACAATAGAACATGAATTTTTGCAGTCTTTGGTATGCCAGAGCCCACAACACGACGGGCCTTAAATACTTAGATACGGTATGGCCTACTGCGGCTCTAGTCCAAAGCATGCATCCTCCAAAGAAGGAGCTTGTTTGAAATTAAGAGACAGTAAAGTGATTGACAGCAGGCCAGGTTTAAATCACTTGAACATGGGCTTGATTGATGGTTGTTATTGGATCAATAATAGTACCCAAAATCAAATATAACGGCCACAGGTTTTTTTTGACTTCGGATTCATTGAACATTCATCTTTTATTTACTTACAAACTCAAAAACTCTCTGGAATTCATACAGAAATGATCATAATTGTAGTAAAACATGTTTCAGATGTTACCTTTTGGCTTATAGTTTGGTCCCATCGCACCTAACAAAATCATTTGTTTATTGAAGAATCACACAGCAGTTTCCTTCAACAAAAACGTGGGTATCAATTATATCATTTACTAATTAATCCAATATTAAAATTAAATAAGACCCGGATAATGTAATCGACTAATCGTATATGGTATAATTAAGACGCCAAGATTATGGTTAAGAGGTATAAAAACAAGAGATTAAGATGGATAATTACCCAAATTAAATATTAACTAATTAACTGATGCGTTACAATTAGGGGTGTTCAAAAGAACCGATTGGAATCGAAATCGGTGGGTATTCGGGGTTTGGTTCTGGTTCCTACTCGGAACCAGCTGTCAATGGGTAGGTTTCGATTCCAAATTTTTGTAACCGTTACTATGCGATTCCGGTTCCTATAGTTAGAAACCGAACAGAAATCGGGAACCGAGACTAATATAAAATAAAATTAAAGAGTAGGGGAGTTAATAAAAACTTTTACAGAAAAGGTAATATGAATACATTTATATTTATATTTCATAACATTTAAAATAAGTTGGTTTGACTTTTGAGAATCTATCTTTACAAAGTAATAGAATTTGTAATTTTGAATTTATAATTTGTAATTTTATTTTTGTTAACAAGTGCTAGGTGAGGGGGTGTATTTGAAAGTTTTTAAGGGTTTTTTTTCCATTTTAAAAACTTTTGGGGGGTCATGAATTTTACAGGGTATCCAGAACCGGAATCGTTGTTAACCTAGTTACAGTCATCCATCACCAGACCTAATAATAAAATATTCACCAAATTGATTTAAGAAAAGTTTATAATTAAATAAAGGGTTAAGGATTTAATTAGTTAGAGATGACGATGAGTGATGTGGTTCAACTAATATAATTGTAAATCAACGACAAAATTGGTGGATTTTGAAAGAAAAGTACGCATGAAATTATATAATTATTCGTGAGCCCTTTGCTTTGGTACCTTATGGGGACATATACTTTTATTATAATTTCTTTCATGGACGACAAACAATACTTTAACAAGGGTCACCTTCTTTACTTCTATGACTAAAGACCCACAAAAAAAATATACATATTATTTAATTGTTTCTTAAAGGTATAGTGATGTCAACTTGTTTCCCAATTGATTAATTGATGAAATCGTCAAGATTTTGTTGATTAAGTTTAAAGAGAATTTAATTGACAGAGTAACTTATCTTATGTGAAAGAAATTAACTTTGTGGGCACTGGTAGGCCATTTGGTGACATTCCTTTTCGATGAAATGTTAACCACAACTAATGGTATGGAGCCACTCCCATCATTACCAAACGAATTTTTTTTCATTCTTCTTCCCATCTCATGTCTTGTCATTGTCCTTCAAACTTCCTGAGGCATTAGTTTTTGGCGCTTTATAAGTATAAAACTGTTGATTATATTAATTAATTCCCATAAACTAAACCAAAAGGTGGAAGTTTTTAGGTATGGTGTGTGATTATGGGAAGTCAGTTTTTGAAGAGATTTGATTTGGTAAATGGTGCAATGCATTAACCCACCACCGTGATAGATTAACTTGACCAAATCTTAATTATTTGGCCTCTGGATAACATATACTTGATGATGTGGTGGTGTCACCATTTCCCAACTTTTTTTTTTTTATTGAAATGCAATGACAATGTAATCTTACCTTCGATCCTAATATATAATAAACTCACACAACCAATTAATTCATTCCCTATTATATATAATTAATAATTAATTCGTGTTTTAAGCTATAGTTTTTCTTCACTTATTTAAGTGACACAAGTGTTCGTCAGTACCCATCCTTAAATTTTGATAATAAAATCAAAAAATATATGGAGATTGTTGTTATACACGTGAAGTTAGTCCACATTAATATCAAAATTGATTTATATTATAATATATAGTCAATTGATATGGGGGCTACTGGCTAGGGTTACCACTATAGTTTACAAAAATATTAATTCGGCAGCCGCAATGCATGACTATATGCTAGCTATATGGTCACCAACTGAAACTTCCGCCACCAGAACCAGAACCAGAACCCAATAGCCAAATTCTTTAGGACTTGTGAAAAAGCTGCTCCAAATCGCTTTCAATTGTATTTTCATGATTAAACTGAGGCTTAATTACTTCCTAATCCTATATATATACATCAATAAAATATTAAGGCTTTAAGGATTATACAAACATGTACGAAAAGATAAATGAACTCAAACACGTAATTAAATTACATTAATTACAAATCGACAACACAGTTAACAGTTTATATATAAAGCTTACGGCTAGATGTGTAACACTAACAGAGGTGGACAAGATGCTTCTTCATCACACTTAAATGAAGTGTTTAAGTGTAAGAAGAAAGATAGATTTTGTTGGTTCAGAGTGTGAAAGTAAGCATGTGTTCAAAATGGTGTAGTATATGCTTAAATTGACAGTTTACAGTTATCGCAAAATCTCAACCTCTTGAATTTTAAATACAAATTAACCCACAGTCATCTTGACAGCGATATCACATTTTTTTTTATTCTTTACGTCTCTACCGAGCATTCGATCATTTACATATTATTCTACCTAATTAGCGAAATTTCAAGCATTCCACACACAATGAAAACTGCTTTTTGAATTTCTGGAAACCTTAATATAATTCAGTAGTTTTCAACAGGTGGTCCTGGTGGGCAATGGGAGAAAAGTCTGTTCCACTGCTCTTGCAAAACACGTTATTATATGTTCATGAGTGCCAAGTAATATCCATTCCCATTGAAGAGAAAAGCTTTTACATGTGCTTTGGAAGTCTCGATAGCAACTTTTAAACCTCCATGTTAGATACAAAGCCATACCAGAATAATATTTGCATATATATATATATATATATGGTTCTTGATTATATTGTGGTTTCTATCAGTCCCGGAAAGGTAGTCAACTTTATAGCCAGAAAAATCCTGACAGATATGTAGGTTAATTAGGTGAGACCCCAAGATCTCACTCTTCCTCGACAACACTATAACAAATTGAATAGAGGGAATGACCTTTTACCAACGTGACCCGGGCAGGCAAGTGGGTATAATTATTTGTGAGACCCAGAATCTTACTTTAAAGTCAGCAATCTGCTATTATTAACTTGTCAAGCTTTTTCAATATGGTTAACGAATTCGGGTATGACATTAAGCCTTGGGATATCATTACACGAAGAAATTAAGATCATCAATTTCACGGCACCCAAAATCAGCAACATTCTTCCAATGACAATGGTTAATAATGGACGACATCGTTATTAGCGAAATATAATGGTTGACAAATCAGCATAGTATTGACAACCCATATCTCTAAAATATTATTATTTATAATCTGAGACTGGTAGATTTATTTAAACATTACAAGTATTAATAAAAAACTATGACACATATACCTAGACTTGAGGAGGCTTTGATCTATATATATCTTGGTTAGTGCTTTCTGTTATACCGACAGGTGGCATAAAGGATCTGATGACGACGGCGATGATGACTTGGTGAAGCTCCATAGATCATTCTCGGTGCTGTAGACTTGCGAGCTTTGATTTGATCTATGTGAATGTAGATTTGATATTTGTATATCATCACCAGAACAAAGATTGAAAACCGCATTTGGGTCACTGAAACAGGATAATTGCTTTGATGTACTATCTACTTGACCATTAAGTTGGGATGCCACGAGCTTATCCAGAGTAATCCAGTCACTAGCCCCAGTTTTGTTGTTGTTTTGAACTGAGGTTGATGTATTATCACACCCCGTACTGCCTTGGTTGATGGAAGAAGGCTCGGTTTCCCTGAGAATATCATCAATTGATTGAAAGCAAGATTTGAAGATTCGATCTTGATCGAAAGGTGAACTGTTGATGGGAATCGAAGGTAGAGTTGGACTTTCCAGCCTTGGGAGATGCATGAATCTTTCGTGGAGCACCTCGCTGATGCTTGTGTTATTTGCAGCAGTGCCGGTGAGCAGTCTCATGTTGCCGTTACTGTTGTTGGAGATGCCCATGGTGTTGGATGATTCGTTCTCCATCTTGCAACTTCCTCCCATGTACATAAGTATTTGATTGAGAACCATATCGTTGCTTGAGCTTAGCATCTGGGACTTTGAATCCAAAGAAGTGGACGAGCTTTTAGGACTGTCTAGGGTTTTCTGATAGTTCTTCTTTCTAAATACACGACAAACCACCCAACCTTCTTCAGGTGAAGAATCTGCCATTGAATTGGAAGGCTGTGTTCACAATAAACGTAAATAGGAATATTAGATTATTTATTCTTCATTTGAATGATGATATATACTCAAAGACATACTAAGACGCGCGGTGACTTACATTGGTATCATTGTTGCTTTCATCGAGTCTATACTCGTGCATGATCCAATCAGATTTTTGTCCGTGTGGGGCGCGTCCCTTGTAAAAAACCAGAGTTTTTCTTAAACCAATTCTTCTAAAGCAACTATAGATGATCTTATCACGACCTGTAGCCTTCCAGAATCCGGCAGCTGTTGCACGGTTTGTTCTAGTTCCAGTCGGGTACTTCTTATCCTTGTGACTGAAGAAGTACCAGTCGTTCTGTGGTGTTGATCCTATCTTGCATTTCTCTGCAATAACCAAAAAACGCAACACAGTGAATCCAAATCCCATGAATCCTCAACCAATAAACACCTCGTATATATTATATACAGAAATTTAAGCGTAAAGATAATACCTTGTATGTCCCAAGGCTCCAGCTTGTTAAGATCAACCTCGCGTATAACATCGAGGTCAATCTTTTCATAGGCCACTTTCTTCCTGAGGTAGTAGTGGAGAAGCTCCTCTTCAGTAGGGTGAAATCTAAAACCTGGAGGGACCTGAGACTGGCCATTAATGGATAGATTCATATCTTCTTGCATTAGCTATAGGTGGTGAAAATAAGGGAAAATGTATATATATAGAGAGGGAGAAGAGAGTAGATAGGTTAGCTAGAGAGGTATTTGTTAGTGAATAAAATGAGGAGAGAAGGTGGTAGTAAAGAATAAGATGGAGTGATGTGCGTAAATGCAGTGAAGAAGATAATTTATAATGGTGGTAGGACATGAGAATGGTCCAAAAAATGCATGAAAAGTTTTGGTATCATGGACATTAGTGTACTTAGCATGGAGCCGAAGGCTTCGAGAAGAGCCAACCACCTAAAACTGAAGACTAAAGAGAGAATGAGGTAGGGAAAATATGGACCCACAATATAGGTACTAACTGTGGGGTCATAATGCTAGCCAAAAAATGCGTTAGAGCCCAACAAATGTAATTGTATCGAGCGGGGGGCAAGCCTCAATCTTAACTATGACCTTCGACCTTAATATCTATTTGAAAAGCACCTCTAAAACCACCACTATCTTCAAAACCCATCTCTTTTTCTTTTTCTTTAAAAAATTAACATCACTCTTTTTACTTATGCAACCACCTCAACGACAAGAGAAGAGAGAGATGATGGGGTCGGAGCCACTGAGCTTTCATGGCCCCCTTACCTATGGACCTAGAAACACATGATGGGGTTTCTGGAGACTTGAGTTTCTCATCTTTTACTGTCACTTTTTTTTTTTCAGACTTTTCAATGTTGTGATGGTCCTCACTAACAGTAAGCCAGCTTATCATTATGATACAGGACAAATTATTTAATTTACCACTTCATTATATTAAGATTATGTCTAAACCGTAAACAAATAGTACAAATATCTGTGCATGCTATTTGAGGAATCCTTTCACAGTTACTTGTTAAGTCAAACTGGAAGGCCTAATAGTATTCCCATTTTGGATTGAGCTTTCTTAGGCTAGCTCTTCACTTTTCAACTTCTCACACACGTCCCCTCTTATTTACATATAAGTGATTAATTAGTTCTACATTTGAACCAAGTTATAATACTATGTTTCTTAATTGGTACTTCATGGTTTCAGGAGGGTATAATTTTTTATTATGCATCCTTTTAAGTGACAACAAACTTAAACAAAAGCTATACTATATATGTTTCTGAAATGGTACTGCATGGTGACACTGAATTTTTCTCTGGCTAGCCAATTCTATGAAAGAAAAGATAAACTTGGTTCCCTAAAAGATGAAGTATATAATATATTATCTCCTGTGAGATAAGATGATTTGAATGTCTAGGCTTTACTAGTCAAATCCATAAATACCAAAAGACTGTACCAAAAGGCTTTACTAGTGAAATCGATAGATATCAAAAGACTGTACCAAGCACCTGGTTTTTGAAACAACTAATGTCTTGACGACTCAAAGATTAGTTTAGCTTAATCCAGTTTAACACAATACTTATTACCTTGATATTCAAAAGGGCAAATAAAATGACTCGAGATAACCCACTTTGAATAAGGTTCTAATTGTATCTTTTATTTGTTTTAATCACTCAAATTGCAACACGGATTTGTCGATTAATAGATTGTTCATAAATCATACTCTGCCAAAATTCTTCGTCGTCTTGACTCTTGATTCCATAATTCATAAGTGAAGTTATAATATAACCTAAGAAATAATTATATAACTTTAATCATTTCAATTTTGGATTTCTTGAATAATACATTGGATATTTATGACTGATATAACACTAACTTTAAGCATACATTGGATATTTATGACTGATTTGTAAATAACACAGACTTTAAGCCTCAAGAAAACGTAGTAGAATAATTTCATCATTCAAATATATATACAGTATCTCAAAGTCCCAAAAATATCATCAACATTCATCCAATTAAATTCATTCTAATTGAAGCCGGCCACTAAGTTGATCTTTTTTATAATTCCCTTCAATTTGGAGTACAGCCGGGATACACAGTTCTTTTGAAAAAATCTAAACATAGATACAGTATTCAAAGGACGTAAAATAATAAATTTACCAGTAAGTCAATCCATATTATATATTAACAAGTTAATTTCTCACCGACACATACTTTTAAGCAGTATAGTAATGATAACGGGAAAGAAATTAATGACTTTCATTTAACGGTAGCACTAACACTAGTAGTAACACGTATATCATTATAAATGAACAAGTATGATGTTAATTAACAAATTCTAATGTTCATCATCGTTATTCCCTCTAAAATTCTATGAACAAATCATGACTTTGGACTACAATTGATGGAGCAACCACTTCTTACTAACCTGCACTACCTATCTCATCGCCTTATCACCTCCAATGTTGTTGCAGTTGGTTGTAGTTGATTCAATTCAATTTTATTTTATATTTTTATCTTATGCTATGATTCAAAATGATCATAAATTCCTTTAACGCACCAGGTTGACAATGGTTTGATTTCATTTAATTGATTATGGTTGTAAAGGGTGACGTGTATTATGACGGCAGACACCTGTGGTTATACTATAGTATACATTAGATTAAATTTGAGATTAAATTAAACATAATCAAATTAATGGTAGGTGATGTTGAAGTTTGCATGAGAAGCAAAGCTATGCGGCAATTTTTTAGGTTTAGGTTACATCTTCCAATGCAAAATCATATTCCAATGAGAATATGAGATTTCATATATATTAAAATTTAATTAGTATAAAGTCATTAATTAATGTTTTGACCTCTGGGTATGCTTAAATCTTACTTACTGTTTTGTTAATGGCTGTAGCTTGTTAAAGTCATGGTGACGAGAGATGATGCATTGCGCAACATACTGTCATATCCAAACGGAATTAAATTTTAGATACACAACAGACTACACTTGAGAAGACGACAAAATAAACCTAAATTTTAGTTGACAAAGTATTTAAGAAAAAGTTGATACTTTATACTTAGAACAAACCAAAAACAGTTTAGAGCAGGGAAAATCAGAAGAATAATATACCACATGGTCTCATCTGATAATACAATTCACTCTGTTGGGTTGGGCTTAGTCCATATGTGACATTTCTGGGTTACGAAGAGGTATTAGAAATCATCAGCTACCACCCCTCTGGTTCACCTTTGATCATGTTAACTTTTAAAAGTTGTTTGAGAGAGTGATATGATGGTGGATTGGTGGGTCTCATCTGATAATACAATTCAAGTCATCAATGTTAAAATCTAGGGATAACTTTCACGGTGAGAAAACAAAAAAAGTAAGGTTAGGTTATTTAAACCTCAATTAAAGTCTCTCAAGGAAGGTAATGATATCATTTACGTAAGGAATGACCCATTTTATTGTAAATGATAGAAAGTTATATAGAATAGTAAAAGTTGATGGGTTCTAATATGCAAAATTTACCTATTTTTGTCCTTTAGGATGTCACAGGCCCCATTTTACACCGACTGAAAGATTTGATTTAACGACAACTAGCTGAAGCGTCTTATAATTAAAGCGTGAATTTCTCTCTAATTAACCAGAATCTAATTAAAGCAGCTTTACACAAAGTTGCAAATCATAGGGCAATTATTATCTAATTATTGATAAATCACTGTTATGTTATGTCATGTATATCTAGATAGCTAGGGACCCTTGAATGAATGGCCATCCGGGGTAGGTATTGCCTCACCGTGACGGGTTAATCAGCTATTTAATACTTGATTTAATTTCCCCTATAGAATTTCACGAGGCTAGGGTTTGCTTTCTGGCTGAAAATTCTATTTGAGCACATGAGAAATAATTGCCTCGTTTTGAAGAATATAATCTTCAGTAGTCCATTATATATATATAAGGTCAATTACGGTGGTTATGAATCATGCATGACGATAATCACATAACTTGAATTAAATGTGAATGAAAATTTGAACTCAATTTAATAGAGGTGAGAGTACTTAATTTACGTATAAGAATTCATTTACCAATTCAAGAAAGTTTTACAGGGTCTTAGACATGTTACTTTGTGAAAATCTTACATGAAGTTGGAGGTTTTCTAAAAGAGAATTAATTAGGGGTGTAGTTATACTAAGAGTAAACGACATATTCCCACCCAAGGGCGGATTCAGCCACTTTGAGGGTAGGCCTCATATTTGAAAAAAAAAAAATTATTAATATACAGGCCATAAAAAATTGTTAATTAACATATATATCCAGACCCACCTTCAGATTTTAAAAAAAATAAGAACTATTATGCATACTATATATCTAGGTCTACAAAAAAAACTTATTATTAATATATATATATATATATTCCAAACCCAAAGAATATTAAAAGTTTAAAACTCTCTTAAGTGTTTTTCTACACAGCTTTACCTATTTTTTATGATTTTATCTTTAAATTCTTTACTCTCTCTTTCTCTTTCTCATGTTATTCGCTTTTAAAATTTTTGAAGACTGAAATTGTTAAATTTTCACTAATCAAGGTGTCATAATTAGCTCCGTTTTCTGTTTTATCAATTTTAGACATGTGTATTGTTTATTTTAATTTAGTTTATTTAAGGATTGAATCATTTTTTTTCTTTTTGAGGTTTTTTATTCTAATTTGAGAGAAAAAGATATTAATCTTGTGAATTTATTTTGTATTTTCTGTCTAAGAATGAATCTGCTTTCTCAAATTAAAACCTTAAATATATTTTAAAGGACGTTATTCTTCACCTTTCACCCACCACTTTCATACATTTTAAACGTCACCGTTCAGTTGTTCAAAATTATTAAAGAAATTTGAGTTACTATCTATGTTTATACTAAAAAAAATTCTCCTCTTTTATTAATTCATATTAAAAGTCAACGTAACGTTGACTTGATTTAAGTTTTGATTGACTTTAGCTTAATTAGGCTAGATTTGATCAACGCTATAAAAATTTATATTGTAATCTTTGAAAGCCAAAAATAAATATATTAAAAGAAGGTTTTTTTCAAGGTTTACTCAACACTTTTACTCAAAATTTTGCTTCTCATAGATTTATTCAAGTAAGAAAATATTGTGTTATTGTATATTCTTTTTTCCCAGGTTCTTAATATTGTATTATTTTTTTAATTTAGGTTTAGTGATTTTTTAAAGTTTTCACTAGTTATTTGGTAAATAATGGCGGAGTCGCCGCGGAGGCCCCTCTGGACAAAAATTCTGGATC